CAGTCCTCACTGTGTCAGAATGGATGTCAGCAGGATTAGTAGTAGAAGTAGTTTATTTTTCTCTAATACTTCATTATTGTTTTTTAAGGCAAAGCTAACTGAAAGGGGCACTGAGCAGAGTTACAACCAGGGATTACAATTTTTTTCTTCTGCAGTTTGGCACCCCCTCCAGCAGATGGGGCTCTAGGCGATCGCCTAGTTCGCCTATGCCAAGAGCCGGCTCTGCCAGCAGGCCAGTGACCAGTGCTGTCCCAACACACAGCTGCTGGTAAAATCGGTGCAGTGGTCTTTCTGCTCCTCTTCCCAGCCGTAGTATTAGTATGTTTTAAAACTGCCAATTTAATGCAACACATATATAATAGTTGCACTTTCATTCACAGTGAACTGTAACTGCACTTTCACCCACACTGCCCCCCGTGTCCCCACTGTTTCCCTTGTCCTTGCTGTCTCCACTGTCCTATACTGTCCTCATTTGCTGTCTCCATCATCATCACTCTTGCCTTTATCTTTAGCTTACTGGGTTGCAGGCTACTTGTTTTCTTCATCAAATCCTACTTCATCCTCACTACCTACAGGAAACATTAGTTTGGTTTCCTTTTGTAATAAACTATAAATCATTGTTGCATTCATTTTGTAAATGGAAGAAAAGAGTGCCAATTTTAATCATATGCAATATGGAAATAATGACTCACAAAATGCATTATTATAGCAGATTCTAGAAGATCAGAGCATACCGTCAACATGCCAGACTAGCAACAGAGTTGCCGTATGGCATCATCCACATTTTACCAGTTTAATATCATTAAATGACCAAATACAGTGCAATAAACCACAGAATAGTGAACTTAATACTGATTGTTGAGTATGTATTTTTTACCCCATCAAAATATGTAAAGAAAATACTTTTTTTTCATGATTTTTGTGGAGTAAAATGGTGAGGCTCCTCCCTGTGAAGAGGTCTGCAGAAAAGATTGTCAAAATTTCCTCTAGAAAGTCATGGGATAAACTCAAACACTGCTATTAGTTCTCTTAGGATCCCATCTCTTAAATTTGGAGGCACTGTATATGTGTGGAAGGTACTCAAAAGGTTTGTTGCCAAATAGAAACATCGTACCATAAGAGGGTTAAAGATCTTTATAACATTTACCCCCCTCATAATACTCAACTTTTAAACAGATTAAAGAGCAATCCTTGAATTAATGRGTGTCACTGGTAATTTCATGAAGGAGTTTCAGACTAATGGTGGTGAAAAGGSATGGAGTCAGAGACCTTTTGGACTTGTAAATGACAGGATATTGTYCTATCTCTGGAGGTGTGTTAGCTCGCAAATCATCTGTTGAAGATGACTCTCAGTTACTACCACTTTAAATAAATTTTAGCTTTTAATATTGTAGCCAATAATACTGATTTGGGTTTTGTGCAGGTTAAGATTGATCAGCTTTTGCGCCCAGCTTGAAGTGCATTGACCCCAAACGTTAATCAGTTGTAGATAAACATCTAATCGTTACTTCTTGAGAGTTTCATTCAAATCCATCCAGTGGTTTGTGATATATTTTGCTAACWGACCGACAAAGTTGACTAATTGCACAGTTTTAAACACAGATTACAACTTGGGCCGACTCAGCTACTACAACACCAAATTTTAGCTCATTATTTGTAAAATTTAGTTATGAGTATTTTTGAGTTTCTGWATTTGCTTAGTTGTGGCGGCCATCTTGGATCAGGTTGACTTTAAAATTTGATTAGCTGTAGATATAAACACATTTGTTACTTAGATGTTTGGTTCGGTAAATATTTTTGCTAACAGACGCGCGCTTTCTCCGCCTGGTTCTTTAAAGCAGCAGTTTCCAGCTGTCGCCACCAGATGGCGCCATCGCGCCGCTCCTGACCTCCCTCCTCCTGCGGCG